GCAATCATTGTTTCGGACAGGCCTGCCACCATTTCTGTCGCGTCGTATTTTCTTCAAATTCGATTAAGGTGTGCACAGTATGATCCATGTTACTTATTTATGCAAGGATATTTGGAAAGGAAAGTCGTTTAGTAACCTTCAATTCAAAAGGTGGTGCAATTGCTAAAGACTTAGCCTCCAAATTTTCTTAAAGCATTTAGTTTATCCTTATTGATGTCCAAACATGTATAGAGTAGCTATTAGACTAACCTTTTACGTAAACGAGGGACACAGCTATCGCTCCTAATTTTCATATACGAGCTTTTAGTTAACAGACACATTCAATAAAGCATCTGCTGCATACTCATAGTTTACTAAATAAACACATATCTGCATGTTATAACAGATCGACAGCAAAACAATCATTATATCACCTTATGAGGTCAACTTTGAAATATATTACAGCTTAATAAACAGAAAAAAGTGAAAAATCAGTTAAAGATAATCATTCTAGTAATGTTCTTAGCATATAATGATGTTGTTATTCACCATAAATCAACTCAGGTACTAAATAAAAGGCCCATACACGCGTTTTGCCCGTATTCTGCCGGTGCTTGACACAGCTGCGAGACCTCCGGCTCATCGGTAGGTCCCTGCTTTCTGTTGTATATACTGGTTTTGTACTTTCATGTGTTTACTATATGTAGAAATTAATTTCTGTTTCGAGCAGTAAATCTGAGGTCTATATGCATAGACAAAAATGCGATGTATCTATCTGTGCCGAACACCATCAGCCTCAGTTTCATTATGACGTAAGGCTATGCTATGAGCTCTTTTTGGTTTTTGACACAGATCTTTAATCTTTTTACGTGAACGGAAAAGGTTAGGAATAATTTCTGAAAACCTGTCACCTCTTGCACTTATTGCCGCTTAAAGTTCACTACCACTCTCTGACGTCAGAACCTTATTCATCTAAGTGTTTATTTTTGCACCATTTTTCAAACAATTACAACAAGTCCGGTGCCTATCTGCTTTCTGCAAGGCGCCTTACTGCTTCTCAATACATCTCTTTGGCAGTCAAGCAGGTTTGGGATTTAAGTGTCGGCATTTTAATTGGTGTTTTCATCCCTGTATCATTTTTAATTTCATTTATATTACATTGAATGACGACAAAGGACCTTTGGGCAACACGGAGAGCAAGGAAACGTTCGTTATTTTGAACTAACCTGTTGTCATTTTGCCGAAAGTTTTTATCGCTGAAACGTCTTTGTGTTCATTAAGTGCGAAATCCGCCATATCTACATTTTATATGAAATTAAAGGGTGCATTTTTATTCTAATCTAAAGAAAAGATCAGAGTCTGGCTAATTAATCGATACCACGGACAGCCATCTAGGCATACTTTACCAAAAAATAATTCTTGCCGCTTCGCCAGAAAATGAACAAAGTATGCTACTGTTCGTCAATTTCGCAGTCGTGTGTAAATTGCTTTTTTTTCGTCCAAGGTTCCAATGTAGAGAACTTTGTTTTTAGCGACTTGGTATGAAAGAACGCTGCGAAAACTTGGCAAAGCATCGAATGCAGGGGAAAAGACTTTCAGTAGTCCTCTATATAATTTGATAGATGAAGGGGCCATTTTTGAATTTCCTTCAAAAAGGCCTTGCAGAATTGTCTATTTTTGCCTCCTATTAACTAGACTCTTATTTGGATGTAAATATCAGTACTGCGTTTGTGTATATTACTGCCGACATATTTCCTCACCCAAAAATAGGCACATTACCTTCGTCAAAGAAATCATTGAGTAATTAATTCGAAGTCTTTTTAGCTTAGCTGCGCTTACTCGATGCAAATATATGGGAGACGTATGTTATGTTTTAACACTTTCTTATTAACAAACTTTACATCGAACTACATTTGATTTAGTATTTAAGCTGTAACAACTGTAGCCTACTCGCAAGTTCATTCTCAGTGGTGCATGGATCTAATTTTAATTTTGCTTTTTGCTTCTCTACGGTCACTCGTGACTTACTTACTTTTGCTTGATACGGCGATGATCATGCCTGATCTAGCCGGCTTCATTGCTGTCATGAAAGGTACCTTTGCACGCGAGATGGTTAGTGGCAGCAGACCTGGAAAGTTCCACCCATTCACTTCTCCAGCAACGAAGACCAAAAACCAAACGTCCATGAACCGCTTTTATGTCTTGACGAACGTTTTCGAGCTAACTTTGAATTGCTTTTCTCTCCGACGCCTCCATGTGGGCTGCGGCACTGGATAATAGGCAGCATAGTAAACGTCGTGAGGCGAAAAACGGAGAACGTTACTCAACAACCTTATTGGTATTTCGTGGATGGTCTGAGATATCCCCGCGATACTGTCACGAAGAGTGAGGACTGTCTCGTTGATGATGAATTCGATATACTTCACTCGAAGAAAGGTCCTCAGGCAGTGGTGGTCAAAAGCCTCTAGTTTTCGTCCATCTTCAACGCGCACAGCCCAGCGTTCAAATCCATAGAGGAGGACTGACCACACGGATACAGAGTACACAAGGATCTTCATGGCGATAAACATGTCTCGCCGGATCTACAGACCCTTTCAGGGGATTGAGAACACCCGGCGAGCAGCATCGATCCGGGAGACAATGTCGTAGCAGTTTCGCCCCGAGTTATTTAAAGATGTCAACTTCTTCAAGCTGACGACCATTAACCTCCAAGGGCACCTTCTCCTAGGCATGAGTTCATGCCAAACAGTCAATTGTGATCAGCAAAATGCAGCATCCTCTCAATATTGTCGAAGCCAAGCCCAAAATGACCAATAAGGTGACTGTCGGGTGAGTCACCGGGCTCAGTACGGTCAATCCATGTGCCGGCAACAATTAACAAATTACGGCGATGAATTCCTTCAACTAGGTCCTGCAGCTGCGAGTAGAAGTTCTCCTTATCTTGTGGTTTGGCAACTAATTTTGGTGCATATAAAGAGACGACAGAAATGTTCATTAAGTGACCCTTTAGTCGAAAGTAAGTAAAACGGTCATTGATTGGTTTCCATACCTATAGTGCACGGTTTGATTTTTCTGAGAAAGCAACAGCCACAATAAGTCTATCAGAAGACTCGTAGAGGCCGCTGAAATACAGTGCGAGATGGAAATTGACTCCAGGATGTTTATTTATCGGATGCCTGAGTCGGGGATTCGGACTTCGTTCAGGTAGCAAAATCCACGTGGTATTGAGGAGGACTGCGCTCCGTCAGATCTTGAGTACCAGGTTCCAGAAGTGTTCACACATTCCAGCATTTAATACCAAAAAGTCCGTCTCCAGTCAAATAGTCCAGCTTGCATGTTATTCGTCTGCGTCACTGAATAAAGGTTGCGGAGCGCGTCGTGAACCGCGGACGCCGTAGCTTACATGGTAGTGTCGTAAACAGACATGTTCATTAGGGATTTTTACGACAGGTGGGTCCTCAACATATGCTTGGGTTGGTTTTTCGAGGTTGCCTCCTCTAGCAATTTGGCTCAAGAACTTAAGCAAAAGTCAGCGGTAGCAAGCAAAACTAATAAATGGCAGTTTCGCGGTCAATATGGCACAGTACCGTTCTTGGGACCGCAGCATTTTATAAGGCAGTCGGTACACCAAATCTCAGCCCTCCGCGCCCCGGTGGCACTTTCGCTGCTGATCTGTGACTGCGTATTCGCCAGACTCAGGAGCCTGCTTATTTTGAAGCTAACCTTCACTGAAGGCCTTTCCAATATCCGCCATCAGGTACACAGAAACCAGGCTAACGGATAACCCGTTAGTCGTGGATTTCGGTGTATACAGTTTATCCTGCTAAGAGATATGTGGCAGTTTAATACATTAGTAAGCGATTCAGAAGAAGAAGATGCGATCACTGGAACAAGGGTTTTATTTTCCTGCCGTTTCGGATTCCC